AAACAGGCCCCCGGTTTTTTTTTTTTTTTTTTTTTTTTTTATCACAGGCTTAAAGAGAATAACAAACTCACTGTTATGACTTTCTTTACCCATCCCCCCCCACCCCACTCCCACCCCCAAACATGTTCTCTCTGCAGGACAATGATGAAGAAGCGTTACAGAGAGCTGTATGATCTAAACAGGGATCTTATCAACGAGTATAAAATTCGCTCCAACAACCACAATGCCCTGCTGGCCTGCCTGAAGTCTGTCAATCAGGCCATACAGCGGGCTGGTAGACTCCGAGGTAGACCACTGTGTGTTTGTGTGAGACACCCTGTAACCTCTGTTTCCTAATTACAGTACTGTATATGAGTTGGGGTCAAGCATTTGTGTAGAAGAGAGAGACTATGTGCATGTCAAGGATGGTCTGGCACTAAATGTCTGTTGCACGGTTGGACATTGTGTGTTGAAGGGCAAGGTGTTTTCTTCTACACGTATGGCTCTGAACTGGCATAACTTCTGGTTAAAAACATTTTCTACATTAACTGGGAACATTAGCAGCCTATTTCTGCATTTCAGTCTGGAGATACTTACAAGAAGGGGCATTTTATGTGTGTGAAACTGAAGTATCAAATGGCACTAAGCAGAGCTTTCAAACTTAAAAGGATTTGGCTCATTCTTTGTGCTGTTATCTGTCTGCATACCTGTCTGCCTCCTCATATTTATCCTTCTATCTCTGTCCATCCTTTTCCACAGTGGGTAAGCCCAAGAACCAAGTGATCTCTGCCTGCCGAGATGCCATCAAGAGCAATAATCTCAATGCACTCTTCAGGATCATGAGAGCTGGCACTGCATCCTCCTGAGGGTGGAAGAGAGTGGACCAATAGACTAAAAGAGAAAGGGATGCTGACAAGCAAAAATGTGTGGTTTTAAAAGCAGAAGACACTAGGACTCTGGAATGGGGACACTTGTAGCCTTAATGCATCTTTTTCTATGATTTAGTTTTAAGCAAGAGCCCTGCAGCAACATTCAGCATTAGCTCCTTTAAACTTTTTTTTTGCTAGCTCAGAAACAGAATAAAGCACAGGCTCAGTGCACTGGTGTAACCATTACTCATCTCAGTCTAGCTGGAGCTAGACTGGCTGGCTGTTTGGCAGTTACAGCTTATCTAAGCAATTGTCACAATTAGTGTAGTGATATTAAAGACAGAACTCTTTAAAGTTCAGCTGGAGCAAAACAGTGGCAGCTTTTCCCCAAACCTTCTCTCAGAAGTAATGGAACACCAAGCATCTGAGTACAGTGATGCTTTGGATAAATTCTTGTTAATTTGTTGATGTGAAAACATGCAAAACAGTCTTTCTTCAATTGTTGCTCACATACATAAGAACAAAAGTTGTGCCTGATGTTCATTTAATGTACTAGGTGTTCCAAGTGATGTTGCACAACTTTGTAAGAAATGTTCAAACTCCAGAAAAATCCAATTTAGTTTCCACAAAAATGTAAGCATTTGGTGGAAAAACGGCCATGTGCTGGATCAGCACCCTGGCAGTTGGGTTCGGCTGACTCAGTGATGTTTAGAGAGAACGCAGCTGGAGGGAGACGGGGAGCAGCCTCCTCTCAAACAGGCGTGCCATTGACCGCCCACACTCAGGCCTGTGCCCCTAGCTGTTGTGTGTTTGTAGCCAAAGAAAGTGATTTAAAATGAATGTCACAGAAGACCAACACTGTGTGTTTAACTTGTTTACCTCTTGTAGATTGTAACTTTAACTGTGTTGGTGGAAAATATTAAATTGTGTAGCTTACTTTAATTTGTTGCAGTATCAAAAGGGAACGATTTCTTTCTCAAACAGTTGGCTTTGTTACGACCCTGGCTCAGGAAGTAAGAGCCAAGACAAGATATTTTGCTAAAGCAAAAGATTATTACCAAAAAAAAACAAAAAAACACAGCAAACAAAAGGACTTGGAGCTTTTAAAAGGCAGGCTGCAGGTCCCAGAGATCAGGTAATAGGAGGACACGGTACCTACAAGACTCCACAGGGATGACACAGCATTATACATAACACCCCCACCCATAAGCAGGTTCATGTACCTCCCAATACATTCATGAACTACTTTAACCAAATACACAAATGGTAAATGGACTGTATTTATATAGCGCATATTTCACAGTGTGTTACACTGGCCAAAGCGCTTTACAGGAGATCAGACACATTCACCCATTCACACACCGATGACGAGAGGCTGCCGCGCACTGGCGCCAGTCGAACCACCGGGAGCAATTTGGGGTTCAGTGTCTTGCTCGGGGACACTTAGGCATGCGGGGAGACCGGGAGACGAACCACCAACTTGCTGGTCAGAAGATGACTGCCCTACCTCGTGAGTCACAGCCACCCCAAATCTACACTAGGTTTATACCAAACTGACTTACAACCTTGAAGGGCATCTGCAAGCACATTGTTCTTTCCACGAATATGTTAGATGTCCAAATTAAACCCCTGTCAGAATAGATTCCATTGCATTAGTCTGTGGCTAGAGTTTTTCCATCCTGCTAAGAGAAATAAGGGTTTTGGTCTGTGTAGACAACAAGGGGTTGTCTGGAAGACAAAGTGTTCCAGAGCAAAGATGGGGCCAAAGCCCCTTTCTCTCCCCTGTTTTTGATCCAAGTCAAATTTCCTGGAAAAGTAGCACAGGATGTTCAACTCCTAATAAATTGTTTTGAAGCAGAACAGCCCCAACATAAACAGTTAGTTTCAAGAGACTGTCAAGGTGATCAAATGTCACTGAGCAGCCCCAGAGGCTGTAGCCCCAGGGATTCTGTAGCTTTCCCTCATTTCTGAACTCACCTTGTAGACAAAGACCTGAATCCTGGTGTAACTTTCGTCCACACTACCCCCTTTTATTTGTTCCCCTCATGTCTTTACCCCTTTCCCTCCCTCCCTCCTTCCGGCCCTCCCTCCCCATTTGCTGTGCTGGCATCTGGCTTCAATTTTCTCCTTTCTAGATGTCACATGGTCAGGCTGGCAGATGAAGGTGCTGCCTTCACGTTCATAAGTTCATATCTGGCTACTTGTTCACATTTTGTTAGAATTTCAAGTAGGCCTATAGCGTGATCAGTAAAAGCTGCTGAAAAGTGTGGATCAGTTGTGCCATTTGTGCCATTTGTATCATTATATTACTGTCTGCAATCCGTTTAATGTCAATTCTGCTATATTATACTTTTAACACACTAGAAAGAGGCTCCAAAACTTTGTGGCAGACATTTTAGTGCTGGTTGGGTTAAATCCGGCCTTGTTCTAACAATGTGATAACAAGCCTACCCGTTTGCTGTAATTTAACCAATATCCTGTGCTGTTTTGTAGATGATGCAGGTAAAGTCATGACCAAAAATGTTGGCATCCCTGCATTTCTATCAGATAATGCACCACTTTTCCCAGAAAATTGTTGCTATCACAAATTCTTTGGTATTCTCATGTTTATTTCTTTTGTTTGCATTGGAACAACACAAAAAAAGCCATTTAAGGTTAGAGGTTCAGTCAGTAGTTCACATTTTTTCCATAAAGATGCAAAAATGAGCACAAGTTCCCTAAATGGATGCTTGCATTTTGCCTGCCCTTCACGAAACAACTTGTGACAGCAATATTTCCTACAGCACTTTAATGCATTTCCTAAAGACAGACTCAGCCCTGGAGAGTGAGCGTGTTCTGTCCATCGTCACAGTCACACACTCATAAGGACATCTGGATTGCTTTCTTCTTTTCTCACTACAGGGAACCTTTGGAAGTCCGTTTATTTTGTCTTTTATGTTGAGGGGAGCCTACACTGCAGCGTGAGACAAGCTGCAGCACAGATACCTCATCCTACGTCTGGTCTGGTAAGTTTCAGTGGGTTTGCATTAAGCAGGGAACCTTGCATACATGTGAGGTTTAGGAAAAACTCGGCAGGCTGGTTGCTGAGAAGGAAAAACGGTACTTTGTGTGAGAAGTTTGCGACTGTGACGTGTGGATTTGCGCCTAGGCAGTCATACAACAGAGCTGACTGAGTTTTCTCTCTTGTCAGCTACATTTACGTCCACTGACAAGGATCTTAGGTTCACAGAGATCTTTGGAATAATTAGTACACGCCCGTTAGAAATTGACAAAACGAGATGGAAATCAAGAACAGCTGAAGGCAGTCTATCACAGGGCTGACGTGAACAAACAACCACACTCACTCCTTCACCAGTTAACCTAAGCGACACGTCTTTGGGAGGAAACCGGAGAGAACCCACGCAGGTACAGGGACACAATGCAAACTTCAAACCCAGAACCTTCTTGCTTTGAGGCAACAGCGCAAACCACTGCGCCACTTTGCTGCCCAGTATTATCTTAGATTACTTCAAAATCATGATACTGTTTGTCCTCAGCTGAGGTGAAGCAAGTCACCAGACGTGGGAGTAAGTCACAAACAAGTCTCAAGTTACTGTGGTGAGAATCAAACAAGTTGAGTCCCTACTATAATTCAAGCAAGTCACAAGTCATTCAAATTTTTGATGATCTATCCCAATTTCCACATTTAAATCAGCTAAAAGACAGTGATCACAAAAAGTTGTTTTATTAACAAAATGTGTTGCAGCTTAGAAATTTTACTAACAGTTGACATTTTGTGGCAAACAACAAGCCTCCTATGAACAACAATGGTGAGCGGGGCTCTGAAATTATAATACAGCTGTATAGCTGAAAACACAAGTACAACATTTACAACAATTTTAAAACTCCTGCCAGGGCAGGAAAGAAATATTGTTAAAAGGATTGTTAAAAGGTTAAATGTTTTGAACAAGCTCTAGATTCTTCATTCCTTCCCTTTTATTTCAGTCAGGATGATACTGATTGTCAGGACTAGGATCTAATGCTATGAGAATATCATGTATTTAAGTGACATGTTCACAAACCTCTGACTGTCAACTGAACTGCTGAGAAGACATTCATGTAGCTGTAGCGTTACTTACTTTGTGAGTTTTGTAGTGATGGATGAAGTTGGATGTTGTGGTCGTGTCTCTGATCTCTGCACTGCAGGCTTTACATACCACTGTTGTCTTCTTACTACCATCACTGACGACATAATACCAGAATCCACATTTTATTATTTTTGGACTAGGTCCCTCCATGGTCTGCTGCGACCTGCGTTATCCTCTCATGGTCTGCTGCATCTTGATAGGTTGCCAGGTTGATGTGCATTGCACTAGAACTCACCCAATTGTGTTTCAAAAACAAAACGTAATTTCTCAACATCTAGCAAATGCTAATATTAATTAAAAAAAAACAAGTCATTTCAAGTCGTGTCTTAAGTCTAAGCCAAGCCTCAAGTACACTAAGTCAAAATCAAGTTGAATCTTTTACTGGTGTTATTCAAGCAAGTCCTCAGATTACATTAAATCATGTTCTTTCTTCTTTCCTGCCTGTTGTGGCTCAGTTTGATCCCTCCCTGTTTGTTGTTGTTGTTGTTTATGTCCAGGATGCCCCCACCCGCTGGTGCCCGACGAAGAAGGGTCGGATGGAGACAGACGCAGACACCAGTGATATGAGGGATATGTACAAAGGACCAAATCATTTTAAGGCTACTTTTCTCCTATAAGTAGCTTTTTAGCCAATTGTATGCTTGAGCAGTGCAAATATACAATGGGGATGTCTAACTGTGAAGTCTGAGGTAACCTTCAGCAAAGCAGCAGAGATGAGGAATGAAAATGACCTTTCTTCAGCAAAGTCTGCAGAGTAGCCTGCGAACCCAAATCAAACAGCCTCTCAGTGCTGTGTTCATCTTATAGGATGAACTGCAGCAGTTTGGTCCAAATGCACTTGTTTTCAATACCTAAGTGAAATTGTGTCTTGAGAAGATGCTGAGGAAGATGCTAATGATGAGGAGGATCCTCCATGTGAAGGGAGATGTGATGTGCACGATGCTGATGCTGCTGCTCCTCTGCCTGCTGCTGTATGTCCGCCAGGTAAGGATGGAATGAATCACATTGTAAAATTTGGATAGATGACATTTGTTTTATAATAAAAACATCCTCCAGTTCTTATGTCCTATTGATTTCCATTGATGTTTTAGGTTGTAGTCTCTGGGTGGGACAGACCTGTGTGGAAACTGGAGATCCACAGCTCTACCAGCTCAAGTCAGGCCCTGCTGGGAACCAAGAGGTCCAAAGTGGACCAGGACTCTCCAAGGGTATGACCTGATCTAATTTGTGTGTGTGTGTGTGTGTCTTGGTATCAGAAATGAAGCAGCTTTATTTTGCCAAGCATATAGGGTGTATTAAGAATTTAAAACCAGCATTGTTTTTGCACGAGTTTGCAAGAGGCTACAATAAAGCTACAATATAGAACTTTTTTCAAAATATTTTAGTTGTAGAAGTCTGTTCCAGAACTTGTCCTAATGTGGAGAGGTGCTGACGAAGCCTCCTGTGACCCAGGCTCATTGAACTGCACTGGCAGCAGTGCAGAGCTATTAGCTTCTAAAAGCTTATGAGCAGGATTGACCTCTCTAACCAAACAGAGATTTTCAATTATTTCTGGTTGATTATTAAGTTTAGTTGCATTCTCATTAGTTGTAATTTCATAACAAATATCTGAGAAGCTGGGCAGAGCATGGGGGAGCTTAGTGGAGTGTCATGCTAGGGCTAACTTAAAGCTACAGTATGTAACTTAAAGTAAAAAGACATATAGTAAGTCCCTTGCAATGCCCCCTGCTGACAGCAAATCCAGGCTTCAAGACACTAGGCCAGGGTAAAAATAAATCTGAAATATCATTTTATCAGCAATAGTTGCATGAGCTCTGCACTAGTGTAGTAATAATAATAAAAGTAAGGTCATAACAATTAAGTATGAATTAATGAGAACTGCACATGTTTATAGTGTGAATGTAAAAGTTGCCCTTAAATATTTCTGTTAATCATTTAACTATTTACTGTATACATTGCCAGAGTAGAAAATGGGTAAATAGCATTGATTTTAACCATGCTATCAGGTCTCAACTTATGCAGTGCTACAGTACCATTAGCATGTTAATATGCTCACAACCGTTCATATACATATATGTCTAGCCTGTAACAGCAAATGCTAACATGCTGATATACAGCAGGTATAATGTGTACCATGTTCTACAACTTTCTTTAGTGTGTTTGAATGCTAAATTTGACTAATTAGCACTAAACACAAAAGTACAGTTGAGGCTGATGGGAATTGCTAGTTTTGCAGGTATTTGGTCATAAACCGAAGTACTGGACAAGTAAAAACATTAACCTGATAATTGCACTGGATGAAAAATTAAGGGATCACCAAAGTTATTATAATTATTCCTGGGGGGGATATGAACATCTGTACCAATTTCTGTACCACTCCATCCACTAGTTGTCAAGACATTCTACTCAAAACTACAAAAGTCAGCCTGATGGCGGTGCTATAGGAAAAGGCAGCTGTTCACCAAAGTCATCAGGATACATAATCTAGACACCATGAATGTTTACAAAATGTCATGTCAAGTCATTCATCATGACATACCATCTGTAGTGAGGCTGAAAGCTGGTTAACCAAATAAAAGTTTGAAAACCACTGAAGTTCACTGAAGTTAAGATTGAAGTTAAATTTCATTAAAGTGTGCATAATGTGCCGTACATCATGATGCAGTCTGTCACTCATAGGTGTGATTACAAGGACAGTCGCCATAATTCTTATTTCACTCATTTGTCTGACATCTCCCTTTGCATGATGGATTGTATTTTCACCACTTACATGTACACATTTTAAGGTGGTGAGGCCTGTGATGGATGATGTGGCAAATCTGTGAAACTAGACCAGGACTGAGTATTCTCTGCAGTGACAGGAAGTTGTGCAAGAAGATCATCATCTCTTAGTCTGATCCTCATTTATAACGTTAGAAGAGGTCACATCACACTCAAGGATGGGATTCTTTGTGCTTGCAGAGAAAGTGTTTAGACATTTTTACATAGTGCCATCTGGTGAAGGCAGGATCAGAGCATTGTGCATGTACCATATTTACACACAGTATGTTGCTATTTGTTTTTTTTTGTGACTGCATCTGTACTGATTAGTTTTATAATGAACTAGGAAGATGCACATGAATCTATATAAACAGAAATGATGCTATTTTGAAATATAACTTGTTTTTATATTTCAGTTTATCACTTTGAAGTTCAAAGAATTATGTTTGCACATCATGTAAGTCTGTGCAAAAATGCATTATATTGTCTATAAGATGAAAACTTGTTATAATGAATATCCTCTGCCTTCTGTCTCTCGTTGTTTCTTCTAATGAGTAGTCCCTGTCCAGCGCTTCAGAGCCAAAGCTGCATCCATGTAAACCCCAGTCCAAGTCTAAATCTTCTCAGCCAAAGTCCAAACCTCAGGTCAAATCTAAGGGGAAATCCAAGTCACGACTAAAGAACATTGTGTCAATGAAGCCTGCTGTCGATTCCCTGCCTACGCCACCACTATTTGACTTTGAGGCCTATCTGAGAGAAAAGGACAACAGGAACTTTAAGCTGCTCATAGACCAGCCAGAGAAATGTCACATCGCAGAGGAAGAGGAAGCAAAAGTAGATGCAAATTTTACTGCTGCTCTCTACATGCTCATCGCAGTAAAGTCTACTGCTGCTGATTTTGACAAACGCCAGGTTAAGTATGCCATGTTTTATACACCAATCATCCATAACATTATGACCACTGAGAGGTGAAGTGAATAACACTGACTATCTCGTTACTGTGGCACTTGTCAGTGTGTGGGGTATATTAGGCAGCAAGTGAACATTCAGTCCTCAAAGTTGATGTGTTGGAAGCAGGAAAAACAGCCATGCATAAGGATCTGAGTGACTTTGACAAAGGCCAAACTGTGATGGTGAGATGACTGGGTCAGAGTATCTCCCACACTGCAGGTCTTGGTGGGTGTTGTTGGTCTGCAGTGGTTAG